TTTCACCATGTCGGCCAGGATGGTTTCGATCTGTTGACCTTGTGATCCGCCTGCATCGGCCTCCCAAAGTGCTGGGATTACAGGTGTGAGCCATCGCGCCCACCCTTAATGAGCATATTCTAATTTTATAAATTTTAGAAATCATTACAAAAGCAAATATGGAAAAAAGGAGCGTATAAACAACAGAGCTGTATGTGGCTTCTGGGAAAAGCTGGCGGATAAGTTTGGCCTCTAGAGTGTTATATATACAGTACATATTTACTTATACATATGTGTTATTCAGAACTCTCCTGATTGCCAGTGACAAAAACCAAACTCTGGCTTACCTAGCAAATGGAATGAACCAGCTGTGTAGCTGGCGTGGGTGGTCTTCACAGGCCACAGGGGCCAGGCACTTCCATGACATCAGGAACTCGTTCTTGCATGGATAACTTATCTCATCCCCTACGTATGGACATTTAGGAGCTTTTCTGACCCTTATGTGCCTGAGGGATTTCTTTTTTTTTTTTTTTTTTTTTTGAGACGGAGTCTCGCTGTGTCTCTCAGGCTGGAGTGCAGTGGCGTGATCTCGGCTCACTGCAAGCTCCGCCTCCCGGGTTCACGCCATTCTCCCGCCTCAGCCTCCCAAGTAGCTGAGACTACAGGCACCCGCCACCACGCCCGGCTAGTTTTTTGTATTTTTAGTAGAGACGGGGTTTCACCATGTTAGCCAGGATAGTCTCGATCTCCTGACCTCGTGATCCACCCGCCTCGGCCTCCCAAAGTGCTGGGATTACAGGCTTGAGCCACCGCGCCCGGCCTGGGATTTCTTTGGACATATACACAAGTGTGGAGACAGATTTCATGTAGAGAAATTATAGGTCAAAGGGCACCAACTTGAAATATTTCAATAAACATTGCCAAACAATGCTCCAAAAAGGCTGAACGAGGTGATCAACCCTCCCACCAACAGAGACACATGTTTTCATTCTGTTTATCACACTGGGGAAGGAAGGCCTCTGCCTGTGTCCTGTGTCCCAAGGTGAACCAGCCTCCTGGAGAGGCCCTGGCCCGGCCTCAGAGACAGCACAAACGAGTCTCCTGCCCAGGCCAGGTCCAGTTCACTCCCACACCAACGACTTCTTAGCCCCACACTAGTAGACCTATTAGGTCTTTCTGTGGCTCTGGGTGGCAGTACCGATCCCCGCCCACCTCACAGGGACACAAGGTTCCTCGATGCTCAGTCCACATCTGCAGGGTGCCTGCGTACTCCAGGGCAAGGCAGAAGAGTGGTAGATTCCTTTTGTATGGTTCTGCCTCACTCCTCCAGTACACTAGCACAAAACTCTGACCCTCACCTGAGGCTGGAATCAGCTTCCATTATTTCAGACATCCTCCGCATAGACAACCTCTGGCAGTTTGAGAACTTGAGGAAGCTGCAGCTGGACAATAACATCATTGAGAAGATCGAGGGCCTGGAGAACCTCACACACCTGGTCTGGCTGGGTAAGGCCCTTTCCTGTGTGTGTCCACCCTAATCAAAGGTGACACCCTGCCAAGGTTATTGCCTTCCCAGGAGACAATAATTGTATGTGACACTCAGCTGCCGGGCCATCATTAGCCAGGGTACGGCAGAAGCTCTGCCTGCTGGGAGCAAGAAAGCTGCTATTTTTTAAAAGCTTGTGCTGGGCAAAACGCAGCAAAGATGTGCTCAGACACAGGACCACAGAATATTCTGCTCTTACCTGCCCAAACTTTCAGTCTGGATGGGGCACAAAGGGGCAGCTGTGGACTCTTATTTAATCTAGACTCAGGCTGACAGATAACCATCGACAGGTAATCATTGGCTGGTGGGACCCAGATCAAACCAGGAATCATCGTCACAGAGGCTAGTGTGTTTCAAGCACTTAACTACATGCTAAGTGGGGCCTGTATGCTTTCCATATGAGTCTTTCAGTTCACACAGCATCTCCATCATAGAGATGAGCAAACTAAGGTCACTGCCACCGCATCAGGCCTCACTGCCAAGGCCATGGAGGGTTTTGATGAGGTGTTCCTTCTGCTGGCCTCTTAGGAGCATCCTCACATCTGGTGAGGGCCAGTGGGCCCCTAGCAGGGAAAAGGTCATGGGCCTGAGAGCTCCTTATGCACTGTCTTGTTTAACCCCCATTTTAATCCTAAGAGTTGGGCATCTGTTATAATCCCAACCTACAGAAGAGGAGCTGAGACTCAGAGAGCCCCAGGCACTTGCCCAAAGCTGCACGACCGAGAAGTATCAGAGCTGGGACTCACCCCGACGCCTGTCTGACCTCACAGCCCACATTCCCTCCATCCTATCAGGTGGTCTCCTGGTAATAAGGGCACCCTGGGGCATCATGAGCCTCCCAGTTTGCCAAACACTCCCAACCTCCTTTGTGCTGACAATTGCAAGCCCACAGCAAACCCACAGGCAGGGTTATGCTGCCATTTCACACATGCAGCAACTGAGGCTCAGGGAGGCTGACCAGCTTGATGGAGCCACGTGCTATATATAGGTAGCAGAACCAAACCACAGCCAGGTCCTCTGACACCTGGGCCCAAGTCTCTTGTCCCAGGTTTCTCATTTCTCTGCACCCTAGCACCCATTAATGCTGATTCCTGAATGCCATGGTTTTAAGCAGGAGCTCCCTGGCCTGGCTGTCTCTCAGACATAAAGCAAGTGCCACTGAGCTCCATGACAGCCCCCTGTTTCTGTCTGCTTACCCAGAGAGAAACTTGAATACTGGTCTTGGTTCCCTCCCTAACAAAAGCTTATCTTCCTACTACTTGGCGCTCCTACACACACACTTCCTAGTCAGCTCATTCCCTCGACCCCTTGCAGTGGCCATCCATGCTTCCAAGGGTCACTGGACTGACAGCCAGTGCTCCCTGGGATGGGGGTGCTAGAGCAGTGACAGCAGGCTCTGGTAAGAGGTCATGCTGCCCCTCAGAGTATAGTCAGAAGCTGGTCTTTGTCCAGCCATGGCACTAGGTGCCCAGGGACCCAACCACAGCCAGAAAAGCTGGGTCCCTGGGGTGCCGAGGATGGGGGTTAGGGAAGTGGCACTCCCATGGTTCAGCACGACCTCTCACACTGACATGCACGGGGCTGAGGATGTGCTGGAGCTGGTTAGCACTGGCTGTACACAGCTCTTCCCAACTTCGCTTCCAGGGATGCCACGCTGGTAGCTTGAAATTGGCCACAGTGGGAGTCTTTACACCACAGAAATGAGCAAGCACCTCAAATCAGGGGTTTTCCTCAGCCCGCATTGGTAAACACTTGCTAGCACACCACTAGCGGGTGGGCTAAGCCTCCCAAGAACAGAACCCAGTGGCACGGTGGGGAAGGAAGTGTGCAGGCCTGTCATTTGTTAGACCCCCGTTCAAACCCCAGCTCAGCCAACACACTGACTCTGCACAAGATAGTCCACTCTGTGAACCTCAGTTTCTTTTTTTTTTTGAGACAGAGTCTCGCTCTGTCGCCCAGGCTGGAGTGCAGTGGCACAATCTCGGCTCACTGCAGCCTCCGTCTTCCGGGTTCAAATGATTCTCATGCTTCAGCCTCCCAAGGAGCTGGGATTACAGGTCCTCCCGCCGAGGCTAATCAGTAGTTATAATCATAACCTATTACGCTATCTTCGCGCATACCTAGCTGGGATATTACACCAATCCACTCCGGCCCCTGTGTGCACCGGCGAAAATCGCCTGAGCTAATTGCTATTTGTAAAAATTATATGTTAAGTTTTACCACAGGAGTTTTTGCCATATGAACCAGTCGCTGATCATCCCAGTTTGCTGCCTCAACAATCTACCTGCCTCCCGCCTCCCCAAAAAGTGCCAGGGAATTCATAGTCCGTGGAGCCACCACACGCTGGACCTGAACCCTCAAATTTCCTTTATTGGCTGTTCTACCTTGAGCATACTTTTACCATAAGGCCCATGTTGAATCTCCGTTCGTCAATCTATAAAATGGTTATGATATCGCCAGCGGCGCTGGTGGCTCAAGCTGTTGTAATCCCAGCACTTTGGAGGCCAAGGCGGGTGGATCACGAGATCAGAGGATCGAGACCAATCTGGCTAACCCGGTGAAACCCCGTCTCTACTAAAAAGGTACAAAAAAAAACTAGCCGGGCGAGGGTGCCGGGCGCCATTGTAGTTCTAGCTGCTGGAGGCTCGAGGGCAGGAAGCAATGGCGTGGAACCCCGGAGGCGGAGGCTTGCAGTGAGCTGAGATCCGGGCCAGCTGCAACTTCCCAGCCTGGGCGACAGAGGCAAGACTCGTCTCAAAAAAAAAAAAAAAAAAAAAAAAGGTATGATATCTCTGCTATGAGGATTAAACAAGGTAATGCACTTAAAGGGCCTGGCATAGAGAAAGGACAGTTATCATTGGTCTCAATGTCAACAGGTGAGCATCCCCTCATATGCAGAGGAGGCTCAATTAAGATGTGGTTAAACTCAACTCCCAAATCACTTTTTTTTTTTTTTTTGACACAAAGTCTCACTTCGTCACCTAGGCTGGAGTACAGTGGCACAATCTTGGCTCACTCCACCTCCAAGTTCAAGTGGTTCTCGTGCCTCAGCCTCCTGAGTAGCTGGGATTACAGGCATGTGCCACCATGCCCAGATCATTTTTGTATGTTTAGTAGAGACAGGGTTTCACCAGGTTGGTCAGGCTGGTCTTGAACTCCTGACCCCCCAAGTGATCCACCCACCTCAGCCTCCCAGAGTGCTAGGATTACAGGTGTGAGCCACCACACCCAGCCCCAAATCACCTTTTAAATGTGATCACTGTGGTTATCATGCTCATATTTCCAAGCCTAGGAAAAATGCTCATTTTTGGCTTCTAGGCCATTGGTGTTCCAGGACAAGATAACAGCCCCACCTGCCTGAAAACCTGTGGTGCGGAAAAAGTACTTTTAGGCCGGGCATGGTGGCTCACACCTATAATCCCCACTTTGGGAGGCCGAGGTGGGAGGATCACTTGAGCCCAGGAGTTTGAGACTAGCCTGGGCAATATGGTAAGAGCCTGTTTCTATAAGAAAAATTCTAAAAAATTAGCTGGATGTGGTGGCGCGTGGTCCCATCTACTCAGGAGGCTGAAGCAGGAGGATCACTTGAACCCAGGAGGTGAAGGATGCAATGAACTGTGATTGCACCACTGCACTCCAGCCTGTGCAACAGAGTGGGACCCTGTCTCGAAAAAAAAAAAAAAAAAAAAAAAAAAGATGGTACTTTTATTCCCAAAGATGTGGAATTAGTCTGAAGTCTCGGTTGGGGTTGAGGTTACAGTTGATGAGGGAGCCTGAGACAGCTGTGAGGGAGCTGGAAGAAACTGACCTACCACATGTCCAGGGAGAAGCCTTAGATGAACTCTGGCCCCACCGTGGTTAGCTGTGTGGCTTTGGGCAAATCACTGAGTCTCTCTGAGCTTCTGCTTCCCAAATGATCAAACAGGGAGACAAATTCCAAACCACCACTCAGGGCTGCTGTCAGAGGACATACACATGAGTGCTTGATAAACTGGTAAATGCAAGGCAGACAGGAGGTGGTCTTGCTAAAATGCCACAGTGTGAGGAAAGGGGACACTCCACCACTGTCTACCCGTGACCCCCAAGGGCACTGCTTCAGAACTGAAGGTTAGCATTTTCTTCCCAGAACTATGACAGAGCATAGACAACAGTACTTGCCTGCATGTCCCCAGCCAGGACGATGATTGGCAGAACTGGAGAGGGCGGTGAACATTTAAGGCGGCAGGAAAGAATCCACACCCGCTTCTAAAAAAAATTCACAAACTATTAGATAGTGAGTCAAATTCCGGCCCTGGCAGCTTGGTGCTGGCTCACAGGGCACTCAGTAGCCCTGATGATTTTATTTCAGGACAGCCCATCCCCTGACCCAGGCAGCAGACCCTAACAACCCTCTCTTCTTCCCAGATCTGTCCTTCAATAACATTGAGACCATTGAGGGGCTGGACACACTGGTGAACCTGGAGGACCTGAGCTTGTTCAACAACCGGATCTCCAAGATCGACTCCCTGGACGCCCTCGTCAAGCTGCAGGTGTTGTCGCTGGGCAACAACCAGATTGACAACATGATGAACGTGAGTGGCCTCCTAGCCCGCCCTCACGCACACCTGCAGGGCCTGGAGCGCCATGGGTTGAGTGGGAGTTTGTGGCGAAGGGAAGTACAGGCTGAGTGTTCCAGATCTTCTCATTTACCTGGAAAAGCCAGGAATCCAGATTACTCCACGAGTGATTTGCTAATGTTTAAATACCACGCTTAACCCAACAAAATTCATCGGAGAGCACTAGTTTACAACCTCCACATTAGTGGCGGTTCTTTCCCTGAATCTTGCACTTCTGTAACAAACATTTGCTGAGACAAGTACCTATTAATGTTGGGCATATGTCCTGTGCTCACTAGAAACAGAGACAGACAAGATGTGGTCCCTTTGGAGTGACCAGCACACACCCCCATAGTCAAGACACAAGGAGACAAGAAGCCGGTGACCCGAGGAACAATAAAATAAGGCCTGTGGATGGTAGGAGGGCACCCCGAGGCTTAGGGGTGTGCACAAGTGGCAGTGGACACAGCTGGGGGTGTGGTGGCAGCTTTAAGGGTCCTGTGTCAGAGGCGATACATCAGATGGCTCCTGGCTTTTGCTTCTGCAACCCACCAACCCTGGGGGCTGTCCAGTAGCCTCTAAAGATTCCTTTTCTGCTTAGGTCAGTCAGGTGGCCTGGGTTCAGATCCCAGCTGCAGGTCATGGTGGCTTAGATGAGTGGCCCGGGAGGGTCAAGCACTGAGTTGTGACTGGCATGTAACCACACAGTTGTGACCAGCTGTCCAGCGGGACCAAACCCCTGTAGTCTCAGAAGTTTGCCCTGCACATGACAGGAGCATCTAAACCCAACCAAGGGTCAAGCCTTCTATGCCTCCGTTTCCTCATCTGTCAGATGGAGACGATGGCCATGACCCCCCTGCCCAGGCCCTCGCAGGAATCAAGTGGGACCATGAATGTAACGCATTTGGTTCGGTGTCAGGCTGGAGTATGTTCCTAACAAATGGAGGACTGTCGTAGCTGAGGGCCTTCCTGTGAGTGTTGGGATGAGGGGAACTTGGTGCAGACTCACTGAGAGATGACTAGAAGTTGCCACCCAGCAGAAGGAAAAGGCTTCCCAGGAGGAGGGAATGGTGTGAGCAAAGGCCTGGAGGTACACTGGGAATGCCTGCCTGCACTCGCCGTTGAGGAGCACAGGGTCCCTGGACGAGGTCAAAGGTGTGTGGTGCAGGGTGGGGCTCAGGATGTGGCCGGGCCTCGCCACAGTCAGTCAGGATGGCCAGAGAAGCAGTGGGAGCTGAGGAGACTTCTGTCTGAGATGTATTTGGGGCAGGTCTACATTTAGGAAGGAATCCACCCCCGTGAGGATGGGTTTGAGGGGGATTGTGAGAATGGGTCACCCCAGGACAGTGCCACCAGAAAGGATACTGTACCTGCAGGTAAGGGAAGCTGGCCCCAAACTGGCGGGAAGCAGAGGTAAGGCAGGGCCTTGCATGCAGGTGGCCGGTTTGAGAGGTGGCTTCAGGAAGCTGGAGTAAGAAAGGCAGGGAAGAACCAACACACAGGTGTGTCACCGAGACTGCTGCCGCAGGTGATGAGGGAGGATTCCCTTGGGCCTCGGAAGTGTCCAGAATGCCTCCCAGAAGTGACCATCTAAGGATAGGAGCCTGAGGCATTGATCCCCCCACCAGCTGAGGGAGATCCCAGGGGGATTAGCTTCCTCGCCACCTGGCTTTTGGGCTGGGTGGGCTTCTTTGGCTTCAGAGACATCTCTGAGGCAGAAAGTGAGTAATGAGATAGGACACTGCCAGCTACGGTCTCTCATGGCTACAGCTGAAGCCGGAGGTAAGCTGAGCCCCTGCGGCAAACAACAAGGGCATTTAGTGGCGTGATAATTGGCACTGCAAGGAAGGGGTGCTTATCAGCAGAGCTTCAAGGACGTGAGTTCCTTCTGCCTCTGGGCTCTGCTGTCCTCAGCATCTCCCCAGAGCTTGATTCTCTTATGGTCGCAGTCAAGGACACGGGCTTCCTTGTCTGCATCTAGCAGGATGGAGAGAGCAAGAACTCTCCTTCTCACAGTGGCCCTTCAGTCTGATCGAGCCACCTCAGGGTCTACACTGACCCTCAGCCTAACATCATGGCTGGGAGATGGCCAGGCTGGGCTTACATGAACAGCCTGGGGTGGGAGCACCGAGCTGTCACTGGCAGTTCTGCCAGGTCAAGCCACAGAGGTGGTGCAGTCTCAGAAGTTTGCCCTGCATGCCAGACAGGCAGCATCCAAACCCAGCCAATACCCTTTGCAGGGCTCAAGTCCTGATTGTCCAGCCTGCCCTGCCCTGTAAGGGCAAGGAAGCCAAATGCTTGCCAGCAGGATGTCTGGACGAGGCATGGAGGGCAAAGGCGAACTCGAGAGCTGAGATTTAGTCAGCCTGTGTTCAGATCTCAACGCTGCCACCTACCAGCTGCCTGACCTTCGGCCAGTGACTTTGAGTTCTGGGTGCCCATTTACCCACCTGTAAAATGGGAATGATAGTAGTTCCTACTCCATAGGGTTGCTGTGAAGATGGATCCATTAGAGAACCTTTTGTGCTTGATACAGGGCCTGGCACGTAGTAAGTGCATGGAAAATGACAGTCAAGAACATTCAGATTAAGAGCTCACCCCAAGCAACTCCAAACCTTGCTGCTTGAAACTCTAGATTGAGCAGATGTTCCTGTCTTGGTGGGTCCTACACCCCAGGGCCCACATGTGAATGAATCTCCTCTGTTTGTTTTCCTCTGGACATTTGGAAAGTTTAATGGAGCTGAGGCCCTGTCCCTCTGAAGGGCCAGGCCTGGGCATGAGAGGGCATGGACAGTGTGAGGTAGACGTGCTTGTGCCCTGCTGGGACACCCCACTCTTGCCTTTCTCCCATCCTGCCCCTGCAGGGACTGGGCAGGAGGAAATCCCATCACCCTTTCCCAGTGGGGTGCTGGGTGCCAGGTATTCCCTCTGGAATATGGGAGAAGCTGGTAAAGCCCATCCCCAGAGAGAAGGAGGATGGAAGACGACCCATGGGGACAAGCTGCTGGGGAATGCTGAGATGTCTGGGTCAGGTACTCCCGAGGTCTGGCCGCATCCCAGGGACCCTGGAGACCCTAGATGCTCTTCACCCAATCAGGCACTCGCCCTCTTGATGACCTGACCCAGAGAGTCCTGACGGATACTTCTCAGGTACTAGCTCCAAACCCCAAGCATCTTTGATTTTAGTCCTTATCTGCCCTGTTTATCTGGCATCTCATTATGTACTTTCTTGTCATTTATATATTTATTAGGCTTATTTTAATTTCTGCTCATTGCATTAAAAACAGATGTTTAAGCAGAATGCAGGGCACACAGAAAAGAGGCTCACTCACTCCTGGCCTCTGTCCTTCCCTTCCAGAGGCCCCAGCTGCTTCTAAGTTACATGTGTGTCTTTCCAAGAGTCTTGTGTTAAACATTGTGCATGATTGTCACATCTGTCCAGCTACCCTCCAAGCACCTGCCTTTGGTGTCTCCTTTCCTCCTGAGTCATCAGCTCGCCCTCTCCGCTGGCTCATTCCACCACTCAGGTGCAGCGTGATGTGGGTTCCTAGTTCCCTGTAGGCGGGTGTCAAGGTTGTTTCCAATCTAGTGCCATTACACACAGTCTGTAGTGGACATTCTTAAACAGGGGTCACTTTGTACCTGGATAAGCCATCTGCAAGATAAACTAGAGAGGAACTGCTAGGCCAAAGGGCATGTGCATTTTAAATTTTGACAGATCTTGCCAAGTGGAAGTGGAACTATTTACAAAGCCACCAACAATGATGAGGCAGCCTGTCGCCTCTCACCTTCTACAACACACTTTGTGGAATCTTGCTGGGAGAGCTCTTAAAAATTAAATCAGGTCCTGTCTCCCCGCCTCCCCACCCATACACACTTAAAACGCCAATGGTGGCCAGGTGCAGTGGCTCACGCCTATAATCCCAGCGCTTTGGAGGCTGAGGTGGGCAGAGCCTATTATCCTAGCACTTTGGAGGCCAAGGTGGGCAGATTGCCTGAGCTCAGGAGTTTGACACCAGCCTGGGCAACACAGTGAAACCCCGTCTGTACTAAAATACAAAAAACTAGCCAGGCGTTGCGGTGTGCGCCTATAGTCCTGGCTACTTGGGAGGCTGAGGCAGGAGAATTACTTGAACCCGGGAGGCAGAGGTTGCAGTGAGCTGAAATCACACCACTGCAACTGCACACCAGCCTGGGCGACAGAGTGAGACTCTATCTCCAAAGAAAAAAAAAGAAAACAAACAAACAAAAAATCCACTGGCTTCTACCATCCTTAGAACAAACTGAAGGCAGGGGCTCAGTGGCTCATGCCTGTAATCCCAACACCTTGGGAGGCCAAGGAGGGCGGATCACTTGAGGCCAGGAGTTCAAGAACAGCCCTGCCAACATGGCAAAGCCTTGTCTCTAATAAAAATACAAAAACATTAGCCAGGTGTGATGGCATGCGCCTGTAATCTCAGCTACTCGGGAGGCTCAGGCAGGAGAATGACAGTGAACCTAGGAGGTGGAGATTGCAGTGAGCCAAGTTGCGCCACTGCAACTCCTGCAGCCTAGGCAACAGAGCGAGACTCCGCTAAAAAAAATAAAATAAAAAATTCTAAACTCTTGACCTGCATGGTCTTGCATGAATCAGCCCCTGACCTTGTCACTACTCCCATCTCAGCTTCTTCCCAGCCTCCTCCCCACCATGCTGCAGCCACCCTGGCTTTTGCTCAGTGCCTGGTATGTGCCAAGTTCTTTGCTGCCTTTGCCTATGCTGTCTTGGCTTCCAGGAATGTGCTCTCCTCTGCTCTTCTGCGTTGGCTCCCTCAGGTCTCAGATTAAATGTCACCTTCCCAGAGAGACCTCTGAATCTCCTAACTGAAAGAGGCCTCCCTGTTATTTTCTCTCAGGGTGCCATCTTGATGTTCCTTATAGCACTTAACCCAAACCATAATGATTTTATTTACTTTTTTAAACATTTGGCCGGGCCCATCCCTGGGTCCCGCCCATTCTCGCTGCCTCAGTCTCCCGAGTAAGCTGGACAGCAGGCCGCCCACGCCCGGCTAATATTCTTTTTTTGATTTCTTGTATTAAGTAGGATGGGGTTTTTCCAACTGTTGCCCAAGGATGGTCCTCAATCTCTGAACTCGTGATCCACCCGCCTCAGCCCTCCCAACGTGCTGGGACTTTACAGGCCGTGAGCCACCGCGCCCTGCCGAGAAAAGGCCCATTTCTTGCAGCCACAGAGTTGAAAACACAGGTTGCGAACCTCCCTCCTCAGTATCTTTCAGACAGCCTGGCCACAGCCGCATCAGCCAGTGGTGTGTGACAAGCCGTGTGCAGGTACTGGGTGTTCCAGGCTGGAAGCAGTACTGAGACCTTCCGTCAAAATGGCTTTCCAAAGAACCAGGCAAGACCGTGTTTCAGGTCTGCGGAACCACGTGGTGACTGAACGAGTTTTAACCCAACAAACCTGTTTGAGCTCGATGGCCACATCGTTAAAATTGCGTTATAAGGGAAAATCAAGTGTTTTACAAAGGGCTTGTTTGTAAGGGAACCGCAAAAGAAATAAACTAATGAAAAGCATTTGCCAATGAGTTGGCCTAAAACCAACCTATTCAAGTTAAAATGGTAAAGTTTTTTAGTTTGCTGTTTATACTAGTAAAATAGGCACACCCTTTTTTATTTTTTTTTTTAAAAATCTTTTTTAAAATTTAATCTTAAAATTTATTTTTTTTTGAGATGAAAATCC